TGAAGGAAAGGGCACTATTTCTCAAAGGAAAACGAGAACTACTACTAAAATGGCTTACTTTGAACGGTTATATTCAAATTCAATGTGAAGGGAGTCCTCAATACCAACTTCCATTTTGATACTGTTATCCGTATCGGGATACGAACTCAACGTATGCACAATAACATCCATTTCTCGGACTATATCTGTAAGCCTCCTTACAACAACAACTCGCAAAAAGTACCTAAAGTAGGAATTACGTTCTACACATTAAAGCAAGCAACCTGTGAAGGTGAGAAACTAAGCCGGAAACAACGTCCCCATCAATAAACAACAGTTTAGCATGTATAAAGAATCATAATCGTTTACTATCAAGATAAAGAAAGATTCTCAAATGAATACCTCAGCTTAACATTGGTTCCAATATACGACTCGTATGGTTTCTCCACCTGTTGAAAATCGAAAGCAAAACTTGTGTTCTGCGTAATTTCACCTGGGCGAGCCAATTCCTTTACCATGGATATAAAATCATGTTGATTTCCACGGTCATAATAAATCTCTGTAAAAAAGCTTTTTGGGGTCTTCACAACTCTAAATATAATCAGCCAATCAGAAAAATCACATCAAAGCTGTAATTTAATAGAAACCATACAGTACAGTAAATACATAATGCTTCATACCTATTTGCCCTATGAATTCAATACGAATTCCTTGATGATCTAGCTTTTTTTTCACGGCAATATTAACAGTGCCGGAAACTGACTCTCCATCATAAAATAAATAATGAGCTTCCTGGCCTCCATCTTCACCACGTATTTTGGCAACCTGCAAAAGATGAAACTACGTACCAATGTTTCTTCAAAAACTCCAAATAAAAAAGTAATTCTTTAACCACAGGAATGCTACTAACCTTTCTCGTATCAGCATCGTCAAGCTTTATTGAAATGTCGGCAGCTTGACCAAAACCAAAGAAAGCCTAAAACAACAATTGTTGGTTACTGTATATAAAATTAAAAAGGTAACCACTGTTTGAACTCATCGACTAAATCTACCACATACGCTGCAAAAAAAAGACGTAAACTTAAGAATAATAAAAACTTAAAGTGTTGTCAGAACATGTTCCCTTCTAAATGAACTAAAGAATCTCGTGACAAATCTAAACCAGTAAACAATGAGAAAAAGATTTTTTTTTACATCCTTCATAGTACCATATAAAACTAAAATCAAATTTCTAAGTAATCGGAAAAAAAAGTGACATTAATATAAAATAAAAAAACAAAATAAAATAGACGAATAAACAATAATTAGTTACCATGCATGCAGACGACTAGGTACTGGCTTTTATTGGAAATTTGTGGATCAGATTTCTACCACATATTGAATACAAGCTGATAGCTTGAAGAATCTGAAGTGGATTTTTTAACAGTTACCAATGATGCTAAATATTATACCCGATAGAGAAAAAAGTACGGGAATAAAAAAAATACACGTCGTTGAAAACACTACGACAATTACATGAAAACCATACAGAAAACCCTTGACCAAATCTGCAACGAATTCCTCAAAAGCATTGCAACACATATTTTTTTTAAAAAAACATTTCAACGTCCATACACCCGCCTTCACTTAAAAGAGAATAATAAAATAGCAATAAATTGAAAAGAAATAGTATCATCAGTCATTCACAACCTACAATTAATACGAATTTTGCATTATTTTTCATGACTGCAAGATATGCTTTATTGACCAGTTACATCTTTCCAACTCAATTTTATAAACTCGTCAATTGTACGTAAAAGCCTTACAGCTCAATGAACGACAGTTACCGCAAAAAAAAGCCCTCTTTTTTCCTACATTTGTTTATAGACAGTTACCGACATACTAACGATCAGCAATCAAAACACAATTATATAACCCAAACCATTCACTGAATAGTTTACAAAATATAAAACCCGCTGTAATTTGCTTAGCTTTCAGTGAAACTTCAGCATATTCAAGCAAAACAAATAAAAATGATAATTTGACCTTTTGATTCCCCCTACGCTTTTATTGCATTTTTTATTTTTTCCTCTCGTTGACCAATAAAAGTGCCTATAATAAAGACTGTTTACAAGCTACAGATCATACTCAAATTTTACACCAAAAATCTTCTTTAAAAAAATATCACTGTCACTTAGAGGAACAACTACAAATTATTTTTTTTCGACCAATTTAAATTTCATTTCGTCTTCAAGACATCATCTGTTTTTTATCCGCCACTTGCTTAAACAAAAAAAAAACAATTTTTTTTTTTTCCGTGGATCCTCCATAAAAATAAAAAAAATCAAAACTGGCCCATGTTGGTCATTCCTTCAAAATATGAACCAACTCTGTCCATTTTACTCAGATACAAGCCGCATACTTCTACCACCGTCCACAGTTGTGTAGGTTCCTGAAGGACCACAATACCAGGAACGTTGCTCATAACACCAATGTTATCTATATTATCCTAAGAGACTAAAAAGCTTTTGTGGACAATTTAGCTGATCTGAAAATGGCTAAAGAAACATGAGGAGTAGTTCAGTGACAAAAGATTGATTCTCCAAGCAGATAAAACCCAGCAAACATGAGAAATTTTTTGCATAACCCAACGAACACTAACTACACAATGTTAAAATGTTGTTTTTAACAACTGCAACAACAACTGTCACTTATTCTCAACAAGTTCCTCTGTGACAACGAATGTTCATTGCTTTCTGTAGTTCTTGTTTTTTTTTTTCCAACTGCAAATTACTATTTTCGTCCAACAGTGCTCAATAAATTACATCTGTTTAAAATCTACACTACATATATATGCTAAGCCTTTTGCACTGAAAAGCCATAAAGTCGATGGAATGAAATAAATTAACAGTAAAAAATGGAGTAAAATCCTGAATTTCGATTTGAGTATCACTAATCTAGAAATTAGAAACCCATCTAAAACAGCGCATAATTCATAGGTTCCATCAAAAACAAGAACCAAAGATGTACTAAACATTTGCTTATAAGAAAACTGTAGCACAGTGATGATGTGTATAACTGTTGTGGTAGCTGAACTCCAATCTAATACTGAAATAAAACATTCATCTGTTGCAACTCATGCACCAGCAAATCTGATGTATCAAAGGTGACAAAAAAAAAAAAAAAAAAAAAAAAAAAAAAAAA